TTTTGCAAAACGCACATTGAGGGGACGTTTGTTCTATGTTCTTGGCCATCTCCTGTCCCTCGGAAATGGCCCCTGTCCGTTTTCCGCCTTCCTTTGTGGGCAGTGACTGGCTAAATGTCCAGCCTGACAGCAAATAAAACAATGTCTGCAAGTATTTCCATTGTTTTCTCTCCTACATTTGGGGCAACCCCGTGGATATCTTGGCTGGAATGGTGCATTACTCTTAGACACCTGTTCCTCAACCTTTGCTTTAAGGGAACTTAATTCAGACTTTATTCCCTTGATCTCTGCGAGGAGGTCCTGTTTTTCACTGATTTCTGGGGATGTCCCCTTTTTCCCTTTTGCCCCCTCAACAGAACTCACCTTGGCACTTTTCGCAGACAGCCTCTCTGTTAAACCAAGCTTGTTTTCTCTCTCGGTCTTTTGGGAGGCAAGTTCATTGATGCTTCGCATAAGTTCCTCATCAGACACACCGCCCTTTCGTAGAATTGGTCGTAAACTAGTTGTCAGATACTCATCACGAATTCCAGTTTCTAAAGCTTTCAGAAAAGTATTCTGGATTAACTGGCTACCATAGTTGAAATCAGTGTCTGCTTCCTTACTAGCAAAAACAACTTTATTTCTTGCATCCATAATTCTTAACAAGAACTGTTGCACACTTTCTTTGGGTTTCTGGCACATTGTAGTTAGTTGCTGGTACAATTCTGAAGCTATCTTCTCGCAATAATGGATCCTTAAGATCTTTCGTAGTTGGGGAAGACCAAGTTCTGGCATTGTCTCAATGTAACTACGGAGGCTTGTGTGTGGTGAAATAGCTCGGATTACTGCATCGACAATTTCATCCTCAGTGTATTTTCGTTTGAGCCCTGATTCAATCTGGTGATTGAGAGAGATATATGTCAGTTTTTCTGCTTGTCCTGGTTCTCCAATCTGCCCCCATATCTTAAAGTCTCTTCTCAACAACGCCCGGGTACTTGAAGGCACTTTAATCACTGATGCGTTTTCACTACTGTTTACTTTGACTTTGGCAGATTTATCATTAACTCCGATTTCCAATTTATCTATCTTCGCTTGCATTTCTAACAATTGTTTCTCTTGTTGGCTTTTTAACTGTTCATATTCCTGTTGCAACTTTGACAATTCTCCTTTCTCATTTACTGGCGATAATTCAGGAGAGCCACCAAGCGTTAAAAAAACATCGTTCAAAAGTTGATTTTTCGCCGTCGGGCTTTCAATTCCTTCGACAATATCTTGAAGCCATCTCCGTACTAAATTTATTATCTTACCCCTCGACTTTTCTTTCAATTCTTCGATCTTTTCATACTTTAACTTCTCGGCCGCTTGCAATAACACATCCACATCGTTTTTATAAAGTAACTCTTCCACTTTTAGTTGTAATTCCTCGAGATTCTCCATAGTATAAACAAATACAGCAAAGTCAAAACCCTTTCGTATCGTCTTACATAATTGTCGCTTATATTTCCACCAAAATCGGCTTTAATTCCATCCCTAAACCAGTTGGCAGCCCCACGTTGGGCGCCAAAATGTTACTCCTATTTCCCTTCACGTATGGAACATAACGATTGCAAAAGATATATATTTTATTACTAACAAAATGTGAACTATATAAACTCTCGTTTTACATGTGCTCGAAGCAACTGTTAATCTATATATCGTCCCGCGAGTGTCCCACGCGTGATTCTTGCGTAATCATACAACTAAGGGCAGGGGCCCTACAGCAACACTATATAATAATGGACAATTAGCCATAACGCTTTTGTCGTTGGTCCTGTATGTTTTATTGATATATAGCTACGTAGTTTTGAAAGAACGAGGCAACACTATATATGCACAATTAGCCATAACGCTTTTGTCGTTGGTCTGGTAGGCTTTATTGATATATACGTAGTTTTGAAAGAACGAGGCAACACTATATATATACGCACAGTTAGCCATAACGCTTTTGTCGTTGGTCTGGTAGGTTTTATTGATATATATGCGTGGCGGAAAGAACGAGGCAACGCTATATGTGCACAAGTAGGTTAAAAATTAACACTCCCCCCCCCCCATTAAACCATCTTCACCATCTTACACCATATTCACCACCTGACAACAACTGTTCAGCTGAACCATCCTACACCATCCGACACCACACTACAAGCGTCTGACAAACAAAGCATCTGACACCATCTTACACCATCTTCACCACATGACAACCGATGGCTATATTGGACATATATGGTAAATTCCGGTTTGTTTTTGCACAAAACAGTCAATCCATCTTGTAAACTTAATTCTGCAATAAGATTTTAACGCGGACGCTTGTGGGTAAGCAATTGTTGTTTTCGGCCCTGTGTTGACTACGTTCTATCCACGTTAAGAAGACCGTCTACCTTTACTCCATCATGGCTTGAAAGAAGAAGCTATACATATATCTACGCAATTAAAGTTAAAGTTTGGTGCGTTAGCAAACCAAAGTAAGTACACAAATAATAAGTTGTTTTGGGGATACTAATAGTTGCGCGAAATGTTTCACATAAAAGTGACTTTAGAATAATTTGCGCGATTTCGCGGATGATTCAGTTGTGTTTGCTTTGTATTTGTTCATTTGCGCATGTATTCTTATATAGGCTTAAGATCCGCGCTAAGTCTAGGCAGCATCTTCATTTCAAGCGGTGCTAAATTCGGGTTTGGTGCATGCTAATCGTTAAGTAAATATTATGCTAATCGTAATAAGTAAATATTTGAATTATACTATCCTACAAAACTTGATCCTACCAACTAAATCTAGAACATCGATTTCACTTTTCGACACCTCATTACCAACAAGTCGTGATATCATTGTATTGTACATACTTGACACCTCGTTTCACTCTTTATTCAACGCAACGCGTCTACCAAAGTAGATTAATTTGGATTTTGTTCATTTATTCATTTCTATCCGGATGAATCTGCAGTTTGGCTGAATTCTCAATCGGCGCATGACGTATCTACTGAATCAGTATCACTGAATTTTACAGGAAATAATTTTTCTGAATTTTAGCTGTTTTACAAACATGACGTTAAAAAAAGGAAAAATTACCTTTTGCAACATTTATTTTCCTTTTTGTAATCTGTGTTTTTTTATACAGCTAAATCATAACAATATAAAGTTTTCTAAAGGGTGTAGTAAACAAGTAACTATATATGGAAGACGTCGCGAATAGGGCCGAATTTACCGCGAATAAGGCCGAGTTTTTTAGTTCCATAAATGCTGATAATTTAAAGATGGAAAAATAAGTAAAAGAGAAATATCTCATCGGCATAAAACGGAAAATATATAAAAACTTAATGGTTATGTGAATGATCCTATATTTGTTAAATAAAGGCCTTAGAAAGCGTAATATAATGCGCTAAATTGCGCTGATCTAGCTAATGAAACTCAAGTTAGAGACCGAGACACAGAATAAGTCATACAGGAGCCCGACTTCTTGGTTTTTCCTATGATTTTCCAATGATTTCGGCGTAACCGAAATTCGTCATCAAAATCCTGACGCCATCGCCCTAGGCAGTGCGCATTTGAGAGGCATTCACCCCCTGATAATATTCAAAATGGAGGACGTCCAAGGGGGGATGTCTCTCATACGCGTACTGGACAGGATCATGGCGTCAGCATTTTGATGATGAATCATGGCGTGGCAGCGGTTACTCGAGTTACAGAATAGAAAACATAGCAGAAGCCTCGCTGTACACCTTCCGCAATTTTCGCTTTGCGGATCACGAATAACGCCCGCTAGATGACGTGTATGACACTTGCTGCGAGCATCACATCAGCGTTTGTCAGCGTCAACCTGGCGTCAATTCCTCAAATCGATGGTTTTTCCTGAAATTTACAAAACATGCTCAAAGTGTATACTGCATATTTTGCAATTGTTGTGTAAATATTTTAGGCTTTTGTATTTTTAATTAAGTCGTGTCTTCCTGTTGCGATGATCCATTATTTGGACCTGTGGCAT